CAAGGGTTTTTCTAAATATACAGGATACTTAACGGCTTCAAATAGAAGTGATAGGTTGTACAGTTTATCAGAAGAGCGATTCAAGGCCCTTGGGCCTCTTGTCTTAAATTAGTGTCAAACTTCATATGCTGATACATACTGATGAGAGCTATTCAACTGCATCAATATTTTTTATGCCCTGCCATGAATATGGCCGGGGCATATAGTGTTTGTCATGTCTGTCTTCTGTCCTTCCGTCCTTCCGTCCTTCCATCTGTCCTTCCGTCACACTTTGCGTTTAGCTCTGTTCAAAGCTCAGTTTCAAAGAAACTATCCAAGATATTTTTATCAAACTTCATATGCTGATAGATATTGATGAGAGCTATGCAACTGCATCAACATTTTTTGACCTTGACCTTTCCTTTGACCTTGACCTCACTTTTCTTAAATTAGTGTTTAGCTCAGTTTTAAAAATACCATTCAAGATAGTGTAATCAAACTTCATATGTTGATACATACTGATGTAAGCTATTCAACTGCATCAACATTTTTTGACCTTGACCTTTCTTTTGACCTTGACCTCACTTTTCTTGAATTAGTGTTTAGCTCAGTTTTAATGAAACCATTCAAGATATTTTTAACAAACTTCATATGCTGATACATACTGATGAGAGCTATTCAACTGCATCAATATTTTTAGCTCTACTGGTCAGAGACCAGAAGAGCTTATGCGATAGTAATGTGTCCGTCGTCCGTCTGTCTGTCTGTCTGTCTGTCTGTCTGTCCGTCCGTCTGTAAACAATTTTTCAAAATGCTACTCCTCCTACAGTTTTGGTCTGATTTCAATATAACTTGGCACACAAGTAGACTACACTAAGATACATAATTCTGTGTATCGGTTTTTGATTTCGATGAACGGTGTTGCCATGGTTACTAAAAATAGAAATTTCTGTGAAAAACATTCAAAATGCTACTCCTCCTACAGTTTTGATCTGATTTCAGTATAAATTGGCACACAAGTAGACTATACTAAGATGCATAATTCTGTGTATCGGTTTTTGATTTTGATGAACGGTGTTGCCATGGTTACTAAAAATAGAAATTTCTGTGAAAAACATTCAAAATGCTACTCCTCCTACAGTTTTGATCTGATTTCAGTATAAATTGGCACACAAGTAGACTATACTAAGATGCATAATTCTGTGTATCGGTTTTTGATTTTGATGAACGGTGTTGCCATGGTTACTAAAAATAGAAATTTCTGTGAAAAACATTCAAAATGCTACTCCTCCTACAGTTTTGATCTGATTTCAATATAACTTGGCACACAAGTAGACTATACTAAGATGCATAATTCTGTATATCGGTTTTTGATTTCGATGAACGGTGTTACCATGGTTACTAAAAATAGAAATTTCTGTGAAATACTTTCAAAATGCTACTCCTCCTACAGTTTTGATCTGATTTCAATATAACTTGGCACACAAGTAGACTATAATAAGATAAATAATTCTGACTATCGGTTTTTGATTTCAATGAACGATGTTGCCATGGTAACTAAAAATAGAAATTTCTGTGAAATACTTTCAAAATGCTACTCCTCTTACAGTATTGGTCTGATTTCATTATAACTTGGCAAACAAGTAGACTACACTATGATACATAATTCTGTGTATCAGTTTTTGATTTCGATGAACACTGTTGCCATGGTTACTAAAAATAGAAATTTCCTTGAAATACCTTCAAAATGCTACCCCTACAGTTTTGGTCTGATTTTAGTATTACTTAGCATACAAGTAAACTACACTAAGATACATAATTCTCTGTACCAGTTTCGGATTTTGATGAATGGTGTTGCCATGGTTACTAAAAATAGAAATTTTCTTGAAATACTTTCAAACGCTACTCCTCCTACACTTTTTGTCTGATTTCAGAATAATGTGGCATACAAGTAGACTACAGAGATACATAATTGGTGTTATTGTTTTTTGATTTTGTTGAATGATGTTGCCATGGTTACTTAAATCAAAATTTCAGTAAAATTGTTTTAAAAGGCTACTCCTCCTACAGTTTTAGTCTGATATAATAATAAATCTTGCCAAAAAGAGACTAAATCAAGGATCATTATTCTATTTATTGCTGTTGCAAAGTTTCAAGTCCAAGTGCTACTTTCATCTTCCTTTATAAATACAACCAGTAGAACTACAGTCTCATCAGAGACTTCTGGTTGACCTTGACCTCACTTTTCTTAAATACGTTTTTAGCTCAGTTTTAAAAATACCATTCAAGATAGTGTTATCAAACTTCATATGCTGATACATTCTGAAGAGAGCTATGCAACTGCATCAACATTTTTTGACCTTGACCTTTCCTTTGACCTTGACCTCACTTTTCTTAAATTAGTGTCAAATTTCATATGCTGATACATACTGATGAGAGCTATTCAACTGCATCAATATTTTTTTACCTTGACCTCACTTTTCTTAAATTAGTGTTTTGCTCAGTTTTAAAGAAACCATTCATAATATTTTTATCAAACTTCATATGCTAATACATACTGATGTAACCTTTTCAACTGCATCAACAATTTTTGACCTTGACCTTTCCTTTGACCTTGACCTCACTTTTCTAAATTAGTTTCAAACTTCTTATGCTGATACATACTGATGTAAGCTATTCAACTGCATCAATATTTTTTCACCTTGACCTTTCCTTTGACCTTGACCTCACTTTTCTCAATTTGTGTTCAAATGTTGCATTACTAATATACCGTAGGCAGGGTATTCATGTCCTATGGACATATTTCTAGTTGACCTTGACCTTTCCTTTGACCTTGACCTCACTTTTCTTAAATAAGTGTTTAGCTCAGTTTTAAAGAAACCATTCAGTAAAGTGTTATCAAACTTCATATGCTGATACATACTGTTGAGATGTATTCAACTGTATCAACATTTTTTGACCTTGACATTTTCTTTGACCTTGGCCTCACTTTTCTTAAATTAGTGTCAAACTTCATATGCTGATACATACTGGTGTAAGTTATTCAACTGCATCAATATTTTTTTACTTTGACCTCACTTTTCTCAATTTGTGTCTAACTCAGTTTTCAAGAAACCATTCATAATATTTTCTATCAAACTTCGTATGCTAATACATACTGATGTAACCTTTTCAACTGCATCAACATTTTTTGACCTTGTCCTTTCCTTTGATCTTAACTTCATTTATTTTAAATTAGTGTTTAGCTCAGTTTTAAATAAACAATTCAAAATATTTTTATCAAACTTAATATGCTGATACGTATTTGTGAGAACTATTCAACTGAATCAAAAACGTTTGATCTTGAACTTTTTTGTGACCTTGACCTCACTTTTCTTAAATTTGCATTTTGCTTAATTTTAAAGAAACCATTTAAGATATATTTATGTAAGCTTATGCACTTATACATAATTTGGTGAGAATTTAGCATCTATATCCAAATTTTTAGATTTCAATTTCAATTTTAAAGAAACTATTCAAGATATTCTCATTAAATTTCATACACTAATACAAATTTTCATGTTGCATTACTAATATACCCTCGGCGAGGCATTCATGTCCTATGGACATATTTTTAGGGTTTTTTTTTATTTTCATGAATGATGTTGCTATGGTTACTGATATTGAAATTTCTGTAAAATTCTTTTTAAAGGCTACTCCTCCTACAGTTTTATGATGTTTGCTATAAATCTTGCCACAAAAAGAGACTAAACCAAGGATCATTATTCTATTCATTGCTCTTGCAAAATTTCAAGTCCAAGTGCTACTTTTATCTTCCTTTATAAGTACAACCAGTAGAGCTACAGTCTTGTCAGAGACTTCTGGTTTTTAGCTTATCTGAGCTGAAGGCTCAAGTGAGCTTTTCTGATCAAAACTATCATCCGTCGTAAACTTTTCTCTTCCTTTGTTGTAAGTTCAAACCAGTAGAGCTACAGTCTCATCAGAGACTTCTGTTTTTTAAATTTTGTAGTGGAAGTACATTCCGGTATATTAGGCATGAGCTGCATTCTTTCAATGGACTGTATTTTTCTCTTGAAACTACCTTTTGCCAATAGATGAAGCTCTACAAAATAAAAAGATATTAACAGAGCATGTTGAATAAGATTTTTTTTTTTGCAAGTAACTGAAGTAAACATTTAATGTAATTATACCTAAAATAAGATTTAAACTTGCAGGTTAAGAGTACAGCTGTATACGGCCCATGTGTGTGGGTGTTTGGGGGATTATACCTTACTTCTTTTTATTAATTTTTTTTTATTTTAATTCATGCGCTTAAGTTAATTTTATAAGTTAGTAATTTACTCTTCACCTTATGAACACAATATGAAAAGAAGGCATCTATCTCAATAAGGAGGATTATGCTCCAGTGTACTAAGATTTGATGCCAGCCAAAGGTCTCTCAAAATCAGGCCTGTAGCAAAGTTTTCCAAAGTAAAATGGTTTAGAAATTATTCTTATTAAATTATTATACCATGTATACTGTTTATGAATTAAATCCAACTCATATCAGGTGTTTATGAATTAAGTCTAACTCACATCAGGTTCCATTCCTAGCTATTGATCTAATGAAGAAAGAAGAATGTATATTGGAACTTGTTTTATGATCTTTTAGGGTAATAATGACATAAATAAAATTCATCAAAACGCTTGGCAACTTTGTTTATGTGGATCTTAGATGCAACTGGTTAATTCTGTGTGACAAAACTCACTGAATAAGAGTTCTAGCATCTTATCAACACTAATTTCAGCCCTAACAGTTCACAGTGAGGCAAAATCTTAATAATAGGGGGTTGAATCACATTCTTTGTTTAGTATAAAATAGTCAAAAAGTCCCTTCAATGCATATCCGGAAGTCCAGATAATGAAATCCTTTTCATATCATTTGGATATGAGTTAGAGCAATGGCCATGATTAAGACAGGTCTAGTTTAATTTGATTTTTTTTTTCAAATTGTTTAGATATCAATTTCATTGTTTTTGTAGGATGAAGAACTTACAGATTCCCAAAGAAAGAAAATGACAATAGAGGAAACACAGAAAAGTTTGCCTGTATATCCTTTCAAACAAGACCTGATCGATGCTATACATGAGCACCAAGTCCTCATCATAGAGGGGGAGACTGGGTCAGGCAAAACTACACAGATACCCCAGTATCTGCATCAGGCAGTATGTTTTGTATTAAAACTAGGGTAGGCAGTTTGTAATTGGTTACTTGGTTGGAACCATGGTAGTCTGTTGCAAAATCTTTGATAAGTTAGAAAAACTCTGAATGTTGAAAAGTTAGCATTTTTACATATTTAACCTGATTTAGGAGTAATTAAAGTTCTTGAGATTGAAATTAGGAAGGCAATTGATTAGTTTGTGATGTGTTAATCACTGTTTCAACACCATATTGTTACCCTACTTGTACTGTATTTCTGTAATTATATTAATTACCATGGTAAATCTCTGTTTAGTACAGCAAACTGAAAATAATGAGCATCTCATCCCATCTAATCCTAAAGTTAGCAGTTATTTATCATATCATAAAATTGAACATTGTTAAAAAAGACTATAACTAAGTGTAGTTTAGATTTTAGTTCTGATTATTGGAACAATGTGGAATGAATTTGCATGACATCTGGTCTGAAAAATTATCAATGTCTCAGATATATAAAATACAAGGCTACTGCCTAGAAATATAAGCGATATTCGGGCGAGGGTAAGAAAATGTGATAGATCACGTTTTCGACCCCAGCCCAAATATCGCTTATATTTCAAGACAGTATCCACGTATTTTGTTTATCCTGCAACATATTTTTACATCAGACCTCCAAAACGAGCTATTTTCAACTGATTTAGGTACATCTCTGCAGTTGAAACTAAGACGCCACGGCATAAACATTGCAATGTGTATGACGTAACAATGCTTTTAGAACGTCAGCTGGATACATGCACGAGGCTTTATTAGGGCATTGACCGAATAAAGCTTTGGTTTATTAGGTTACCTTTATTAGGTCAATGCAAGGGGTAGTTGCAGGATAAATACATGAAACAGGCATGTTTCATGTTTTTCTGATTTCTCTTGCCAAATGATATTGAAATAAAATTTATATAATAGTCTGATGAAACATGAAGAGAATATTTCAAACATCTTCATTTTTAGCTCTACTGGTCAGAGACCAGAAGAGCTTATGCGATAGTAAGGTGTCCGTCGTCTGTCTGTCCGTCTGTAAACAATTTTTCAAAACTCTACTCCTCCTACAGTTTTGGTCTGATTTCAATATAACTTGGCATATAAGTAGACGACACTAAGATACAAAATTTTATGTATCAGATTTTGATTTCAATGAACGGTGTTGCCATGGTTACTAAAAATAGAGATTTCTGTGAAAAACTTTCAAAACGCTACTCCTCCTACAGTTTTGATCTGATTTCAATTTAATTTGGCACACAAGTAGACTATACTAAGATACATAATTCTGTGTATCGGTTTATGCGAATTAATGCGAAGTAAAATAATGGCCAATTAAAATAATGCGAATTAAATTGCGTTCACACGACAGCTAATGCGAAGTAAACTAATGTGAAGTAAAATTTTATTTCTACAGTAAGGCTATTCAGTAAGGCTATTATGACATCATTTTCGAATCACGTCACCTTATGCGGTGCAGATCCATATGACATACTGTTATAGTGCCTATACATATTGTCAGTCTAGTCATGAGTATTTTCATGGTATTTAAATATAAGTTTATGTGGTAACTGAATATAATACAGTTTCAATGTACTGTATCATGAGCTCAACGAGTTTCCAACAATCCTACAAAAGAGGTTTCAGTCTGTCTTTACTGCAATTGTCAGTCTACACGATCCATTGTGGAATACTGATCCCGATGTATTTTCATAGTATTTAAATATAAGTTTGTGTGGTAGCTAAATGTCAAACATTTTCAAAGTACAGCATCATGAGCTCATAAACATGTATAAATACTAATTATTCAAATCCTGTCTCTCAAAATTCAACAGTCATAAGTTCAGGGCTCGACATTAACGCTTGTCCGGTACCAGTGAAAAATAATAACGGACAAGTGAATATTGCTGGGCACTTGTCCAATTGGACAAGTGCATTTTAATGTAAAGAAGTCTCCAAATACTGTTGAAAGTTTATCGCTAAAGACGGAAGCAGAATATATAAACCGAACTTCGATCCCGATATGGATCGCTATGTAACTGAGTTCACACTCGATTGGGATCAAAGTTCACTAACTGCATTCTACTGCAAAGGCATGAAACTTACGAAGTTTGGATTCTGTTTGATGTTGACAGTTTCATTTATGAACATTTATGTTGTTGTCAGGACAGAAAGTCTAGATAAAATTTTGTTTTATGTGTTTGTTAGCTCAACTGAGCTGAAAGCTCAAGTGAGCTTTACTGATCACCTGTTGTCCAGAGTCCGTCCATCCGTCTGTCCGTCTGTCTGTAAACTTTTCACATTTTCAACTTCTTCTCAAGAACCACTGAGCCAATTTTAACCAAAGTTGGTACAGAGCATCCTTGGGTAAAGGGGAGTTCAAATTGTTAAAATGAAGGGCCAACCCCCCTTACAAGGGGAGATAATCAAGAAAAGACAAAAATTGGGTGGGATCATTAAAAAATCTTCTTCTCAAGAACCACAGGGCCAGAAAAGCTGAAACTTATGTGGAAGCATCCTTGGGTAGTGTAGATTCTATATTGTTCAAATTATAGCCCCTGAGGGTAGGGCGGGGCCACAATAGGGAATCAAAGTTTTACATTGAAATATATAGGCAAAATCTTTGAAAATCTTCTTCTTAAGAACCACTGGGCCAGAAAAGCTGAAACTTATTTGGAAGCATCCTTGGGTAGTGTAGATTCTAAATTCTTCAATTCATGGCCCCCGGGGGTAGGGCGGGGCCGCAATAAATATTACAAAGAGGAGGTCTTGTGAAGAACAGCAGGGCCAAAGTAACTCAGGTGAGCATTGTGGCCCATGGGCCTCTTGTTGTATTTATCAATAACATCAGGAATCAAGCACATGTAATGGACTTTATTTTAGTTTTCAAGTCGACAGTATTATTACTTTATTGAAAAATTTTCAGACAAGTGAAGTTAAAGTTCGGACAAGTAAATGTCTTGGTCACATGTCCGAATGGACAAGTAGGGAAAAAAGTTAATATAGAGACCTGAAGTTAAATTATTTAAACTGCCCGGGGTATTTTTGGCAAAGTAGGTCAAAGGTCAAGGTCAAGTGGATTATAATGCTGGTATTTTTCATATTGTCTTATGACAAACAGTGCACATGCTAAATAGCACAGACTAACCTCTTATATGTAAAAAATATGCTGTATTTCAGCACTATGAACTATTTTGAAAAGTAGGCCAAAGGTCAAGGTCAAGGGTCATGAGGTCAGTAACCATGGTAATTTACAAAAGCCTTAGTCCTAAGCAATATATGTGCAAAATATAAAATCCATAGCTCTTACAGTTCTTGAGATATAGGGTGTGACAGACAGATGCCAGATAAAGTGATCCCTAAGTGCTGCTCTGCTCTGCAGGCGACACAATCAAACTTGCAGATTTTTTAGTAAGATCAGAAGCAATACTTATCTCTTCAATTAACTTGTTACTGGAAAAGATTCACAACTAATTGGTTGCAAGAATTTATCTGATTGCCATCACTATTACTGGTATATATATGTACTTTTTGGCCATTATACATCATAGGTGTTGTTCCAATTTTAGTAGAAATATGTGCATCATGCCAGTCATAATTGTTACTGGTAAACAATAAAAACTTCAGATTATCATAGATTGCTTATGATAAGAGAATGAATGAGATATGACTTTGATCTAAGGTCATATAAGTACATGTAGGTTCATGGTCAATATCATTGATGGAAAAAAATTGAGTATTTAAGTTTATGCTTAACACGAAATATACTGACAAATAGTTATGATCTTTGAGTGACAAGGCCCTGACTATGAGGTAAGTTCAAAGTTACTTGGCAAAAGAAAACTTATTTTGTGACAAAGACCTATTGATAGGCCATATCTGAGTCATATATTTATTTTCTGTGTTTTGGCAACCTGACCAAAGGTTATTCATATTATTTGAAGGTCACTTGGGGAAAAGTGAAGTTTAGCAGATGAATAATTTTGTAAGCTTGCTAACACATCTGTAGTTAATCATTAGAATTTCTATTCTTAGGGATTTACAAAAAATGGCATGAAAATTGGATGTACTCAACCGCGTCGTGTGGCTGCCATGTCTGTAGCAGCAAGAGTGGCTGAAGAGATGGGCTTCAAACTTGGTAATGAGGTAAATATTTGTACTCTATAAGAAAAGAGGTGCCACAATAGGATGTAACATTTTTAGCTCACTTGAGCCACAGGCACAAGTGAGCTTTATTGATCAAAATTTGAATGTTGTCTTTTGGCATCATTGGCACTGTCATTAACTTAAAATGTTTGGTTTTATAGCTCACCTGAGCTGAAGGCTGAAGGAAGATTTTCTGATCACATATTCTTTGACAAAAGCCTGTTTTCAATTTCACATTTTTAAAGCCATAATTAGTCAAATAAATATGTATCATCCTCATTCAGTGTAGATTAGAGTTTGTTCAAATCCTACCCTTCCCCCTTTTCCACCCTCTTTTGGGGGGGTAGGTTGGGACCACATATATTTAAACTTTTCAATACTGAACTGATATCTGCTTTTGCCTAGCCAGAATGCTCATATGAGCAATGTGGGTCAGGGGCCTCTTGTTTTCCAGAACAATTGAGCCAGTTTCACCCAAACTTGGAACAAAGCTTCCTTGGGATTAAAGTTCATCCAGTCTAGGACCATGTCCCCTTTCAACCCAAAATTAATAGGGAAAAGGCAAAAATAGGGTGGGGTCATTTAAAAATCTTCTTAAGAACCGATAAGCCCGGGAAAATGAAATTTATGTGAAACTTCCTGACTTTAGTGTACATTCAAATTTTTTTCAGATCATGGCCCAGGGGGTAGGGAGCATCCACAATATGGAATCAGAGTTTGAAATAAGAATATACTAGTTAGGAAAAAATATCTAAAAAAAAAAAAAGACAGCGGAGCCATTATTAATCATAAATATGCAAGCATCCTCAAGAAGTTTAATCAAATTGTGGCCCAAATTTTATGAAACTGTGGCTCAAAATAGAGTAAGATGGGGGCCTTAATATGGAATTTGAGTTTTACATAGTAATAAGTAGGAAAGTAGGAATTTAAAAAAAATCAAGAGTAGCATTCCTAAGTTGTAGGATTTAAGCTTATTTTCAAAGAATCGATCCTTGGGTTAGGGTGGGCCTGAAATTGGGGGGTCAAATTTTATGTAACTCTTTACTCCCTACCAGTCTCGTCAAGCTAATAAATTTGCTGCTAATGGCTGATGCAGACAAATTCTTAGAAGCTCTCACTATAACTCTGTTGTTTTTTTTTCCCTACCAAACTTTGGATTAAATTAAATTACCCAGTATTTGAAAATGAATTTCAGATATACAAGATACAAATTTAGCAATAAAATTTCAAAATTTCACTTTTTTTAAAATGATTTTTAAGTTTTCACAATCAAAGCTATTCTGGACATTTTTCTTTTTTGTGAAAGTATATGTTTAGAAGAAAACAAATCTTTCAAAAATCTTATTCTGCAAAACAGACCAGCGAAGGTAGTGAATGCAAGTTTGATTTGGTCATTACTCCTTGGGGTTAGGGTGGTGTCACAATATGGGATAAAAAATTTTCATTGGAATAAAGAGGTAGAAAGAATTCTAAAATTAGGAGACCATTGTATCCTATGGGTCTCATTTTATCTTTAAAACAAGAATACAATATATAGCATTTCAAAAACATAACTTGATAAACCCAACAGGTAGGCTACAGCATCAGATTTGAAGACTGCACATCAGAGAGGACTATGATTAAGTACATGACTGATGGTATGCTTCTTCGTGAGTTTCTGGGAGAACCTGATCTGGCAAGTTACAGGTATATCTTATGTATCTATCTATGTATACATATCCATATCAAGAGAATTTGTGAATCTTGATCCCAGTGATTTTAACATTTACTTATCATCCCTGAAAAAATAAAGAATCTCAAACTTTACCAGATTACTTAAAAATACCTGTTGTAGTTGACCTTAAATTGTTGTAATATAATCATACATGTATCTTGATAGTTTGATACTGAAGCTTAAGATTTTGAAGGAATCAAAAATTATTTTGTAAAATATACATGTTTAATTCAGATTGTTTGAAAGTGTTATGTTTTGGCTCACCTGAACCAAAGGGCTCAGGAGAGCTTTTCTGAACAAAATTTGTCCATTGTCTGTCATTGACTGCATACATTTGTCCATTGTATGTCATTGACTGCGTTGTCATAAACTTTTCACATTTTTATCTTCTTCTCCAGAACCACTTAATTGGCCAATTTCACCCAAACTTGGCACAGTTCAAAGTGTTAGGGTGGGGAACTATTAATAGTATTAGTGTATTAGCACTGACAAGTATAGGCAAGTTAAAGAATTCCTTAATATGATTTTGTAATTTAGTACTAGACTTACTACATGTATCTTGCTGTTCACTGATCATCATATTTCTCTTGATCTTCACCTATCGGTTTTTGTTTTATTATATGATTGAATAATTTCTATCTCTCTGATTGGCTGAGATCCATCAATGTAGAAAAAATACTACATTATATTTACCTGCACATGACCTTCCAGGTGAATACAAGGATTTATTTTCTCTTCATTGGTCTAAAAATAGGTAGGGAAATTCCAAATTGATACAAATAGTTTTGGAAAGCAATTTTACTTACTACCGACTTCCACTCTTGTGAACATAACATTAAGGAATATATAATTTGGGGTGGTTGAAACCTCAACCAAAATTTTGAAATTCATGGCCCCAGGGTCAGGGGTTGTGGTGCTAGGGTGGGGCTATATACATCATACATGTATAGTGAAAATGCATTATTTCTTTGAAAATCTTTTTCTCTGCTCCTGGGTATGACATAAACTAACTAAGTACATAGTTATGATGAGCAAGAGTGCCTCTACCAAAATGTGAATTTCATGGCCCCAGAGTTAGGAGTTCTGGTGTAAGGGGGGGGGGGGGGGGGGGGGGAGGTGCTCTATTGATTATATAGTGAAAATGCATTAAATCTTTGAAAATCTTCTTCTCTGCTCCTGGGTATTAAATAAACTAACTAAGTACATAGTTATGATAAGCATGGCTGCCTCTTCCAAAATTGTGAATTTCATGACCCCTGGGTCAGGGGTTCTGGTGAAAGGGGGGGGGGCTCTATTGATTATATAGTGAAAATTCATAATTTCTTTCAAAATATTTTTTTCTACTCCTGGTTATAAAGCAAAGAAACAAGTGTATAGTTATGATGAGCAAGGATGCTTTTACTTAATTTTTAAAAGTTGTGGTCCCAAGGGTTCTGTTGTTTCTCAGGGGGGGGGGGGGGGGCTCTATTTGATTATATAGTGAAAGTGTGTGAATTCTTTGAAAATCTTCAACTAATTGCATAGTTATGATGATGAGGGTACCTCTTCCAAATTTGTAAATTTTCATGACCCTAGGTCATGGGTTCTGGTGTTAGGGTAGGGCTGTTTTATATAGTGAAAATGCATTATTTCTTTGAAAATCTCCTCTGCTCCTGGGCATATTGGAAGCAAACAGAGTAATAGTTTTAATAAGCAAGGTATTTTTACCAGAATTATAAACATCTTGACCATTTAGTCAAGTGTTCTGGTAATGGCCAGGGCTCTATTAATTTGTATTCTACTGAGTGAAGTTATTCCCCTTTGCCATTCACCTTTGATAATTAATCACTGTACATAATGTATTTGAAAGGTTAATAAAATAAGAGAATTATGCAATAACATTTATTGTATAATACAAAAAGTACTTTCATAGTTTTAATAATCAGGTAGACTTGGAAATATTAGATGAATAAAAATGAAACAAAAATAACTTATCTTTTTAAATGTTCTTCAAAGGCCAAGTGAGGCCAATGTGAGAGGTAATAAGATAGACATTTTGTTAAAAGTCTGCATGGTAATAGTGATAAATGGGGGACAGAGAGAAAGATACTAGAACAGTTATTTTGTTGATCTTCATCATTCTGTTTTCCTTGCTATTGGGCAACAAAACTTCATTTATCAGTTTATGGATCCTCTAAATTGTTGTACTCAGGTGACTGTTAAGGCCCTTGGGCCTCTTGTTTCATTTAGTTTGGACTAAAAATATTCATTAAAAGTTTGGTCCCCCACTAATGGACCTTACTACCCCCCACCCTAACCCGAACCCAACTCCAAAACAAAATTTGAATTTAAAAAATTCTCTTTCAGTGGGGGTTAGTAGAGGATTTTTTCAGCTGTCATTTTTCCCTGATAATGCCCCCTACCTTCAAAATGGATCCTATAAAAGAGCCTGACATTATTACCCTTAGATTTTAAAAAGTTTGGTTAGGACTTCAGCAAGTGTAAACAAGTGTTTTTTGTTTGTTTGTTAATTGTTTAATGTCCCTCTCGAGAATTTTTCACTCATATGGAGATGCCACCACTTGCCGGTGGAGAGCTGCAAATTTTGACCTACACTTGGCACTCAGGGCCATTGAGCAGTGAGGGATCTTTTTCATGCCAGCACTTTCTGCGACACGGGACCTCGGTCTATACGGTCTCATCTGAAGGTCTGGTCTCTATGTCCCACAGTGGGATTCGTACCCGTGACGTAAGAATATACAAACATTTTAATTTACCTGATCATTTTATTTTGTCAATGAAAGTTAGAATTCTGGAAAAGATTTACCACCACACAAACAGTCCATCACTGAGTACACCTTTCCATAGACAACGAGAAGAATTTTGGGTAAGAAAGCTAGGGACAGCCTTTCCCTATGGATGTAATGACAATGTCGATAGTGTTGGAAATCTTTCCAGTCCACAGTGTAACAATGTAAATGTGATGGGACTTTTTAACCATACATAGAGACGTAAACGTAGTCATGGGCATCGGTCTTACAATAAACCTTTAATACACGATGTCTCTTTTGATTCATTACTACCTTACGTAAATCAACAGTTAGGTCTACATCATATTCGCACCAAACTTTACTCTGTCCCTTTGAAACTTTTAAATAGTCTTCTTGAAAAGGTCAAGGAAAGTCCATTTTTTGATTACTCGACACCAGAATATAGGCTCGGATCTGTAATTATGGATATTGCCAATCATAGGCTTTTTAAACCCCTGCGTTTTACTGAAGAAAATGCAGCTAAAACAATCCGTTTTTTCCTTAAACTTCAATATGCCAATAAAGGAATTGACGCGGTTAATATAAGTAATATTCTTAATCACAAAAGGGTCCAGTCTTGTATTCCACCATATTTCATGTTAAAGACTACACCTTGTATTTCCTACAAATATACATCGACTATTGCTTCCAAACTTTTTAATTACAAGAAAACTTTACAGGGCCTGGATATCGAACATCTGAAACATAATCCTCCATCGTGTTCATGTTCATCTTCCCCCTATGACTATAGTCCTGCTGGACACGTTATTACTGGCGACGTAAATATAGTTAATAATGATGACCTTAGATCACTAATTTTAAAAGGTCCTAAATTTAGGGAACCCAGATCCTTCAACTGGCGTCGGAATTTCATAAATATTATGGATTCTGTAGAGGACTACGCCAGGCGATGGGCCAGACATGAAAAAGAAGACCTTGACACTTTGTCAGAATGGCTTAAATGTATCAGATGTATGTTAAAATCGCGCATTAAAAGATTGAGAGGCAATATGAAAATCATCTATCCTTCTGTATTCAATAATCCAGAAGTGAAAAAATAATTAGATAGATTACATGATCAGTACGTACTGGTCCCTGCTGACAAAGCAGGTAACAACATTGTCTTTGTTTGTAAGGCTCATTATATTAAATGTATTTTAGAGGAACTTGGATTTAATTCTACAAGTGGTAATCCAACTTATAGTTCCCTTTCTAAGGAAGAAATTCTTCAAAATCATAAGTCAGTTTGGAATATTTTTAGTATTCCAAACAACCAAAATGAATTTGAATTACCTTATTTATATTGGATTCTGAAACTTCATAAAAATCCTTACAAAGGTTCCAGTAAATGTTCAACCAAGCCTCTATCTTTACTCCTCACTAAGATATTAACAGTGGTGAAGGAGAAACTTCAAGAGTACTGTGCAACAATATATTCAAGAAGTGGTGTAAATCAGATGTGGATACTTAAAGATTCCAAGGAACTTTTGGAAAATTTGAAATCACAAGATTTTACCAAAATCAACAGCTTAAAAACTTACGACTTTTCAACTTTATACACAACCATTCCCCACGATAAAGGAGATGGGCGAACATAGCGTGCAGAAAGCCTATAGCTTCAAATATATAAAAATCATGTTCAATTTGTGAATTCAGTATTTAGAGTAAAGTTCTCATTATTGAAATGTATGAAATTATGATAAACAAAACTTTTCTGAGGAAAATTTTCTCGGAAAATTTATTCTTTTATTTAAAAAAATGATGTGATATTCATGGGGGTTCGAACCCTAGCAATAAAAATCCTGAGTATCATTTCCTTTCGAGACTAGCATGTTAACCACTAGACTACGCAAGATCTGATGAATAGTGGTATTTAAATCATGTTTGTGATATGACCCTTGACTTTATGGACTTCAGGTATTTCTCGGAAAGATGCGAATTTTGTGTCATAAAAGTGTATTTTAAAGGTATAGTGGGTCTTTGCTCCATATTTTAGGAAACCAAAAAATGTATATTATTATGCAAACTTCGAGGATTAACTTAAAAAAAATGGAGCGAAGACCCACTCATATCGAAAAATAGTGTTATAGTATGAGAAAATGACTCTTTTTGCCCTCTTTAGTGTGTGTACAATATTTCATAAGCAAATAATTTCAATCTTTGTGAGATTTTTGCAAATTGTA